GTGGTGATCATATTAAATTTATTCGTGATCAGTGTGGTGCAAAAATTAACATATCGGATGGTTCTTGTCCGGAACGCATTGTCACAATTACGGGTAGCACCGGGACGATTAATAAAGCATTTGGCATGATATGTGCCAAATTACAGCAGGTTATGTTTCGCTGAAATATTAATTTAGTTGCTGCTGTCTTCAGGAAATATATTTTAGCAAATAAATAAATAGATTTTAAAAATCGATCAGTATTATAATGATTTAAAATTTGACAAGGGTCTTTTCCTTTTTTTCTTAAAATGTTTATAACTGCGCATATTCTTCAATTTATCTTATTGAATATGCATTTTTTTTACAGGATTTACAAGCACTTCCACACAGCATTCCAAAACCTCCGATCACAATGCGTTTGATTGTGCCTGCAACTCAATGTGGCTGTATCATCGGTAAAGGTGGCTCAAAAATTAAAGAAATTCGTGAGGTAAGTTAATGAATTAAAAGGAAAAAGTCGGCATAATTCTTTTTTATTTTATTGATAAAATTTATCAATTATTTTGCTCTTCCTATTTTTTTGAGAAACAAGGCAAAAAATAAGAAATGATGAATAATTATTTAACTTTTTTTACTTTCTTAAATTTCAATCTTCTCAAATAGGAACTGATAATGTAAACGAACCACCAGTTGATTTATTCTTAATCTTATCTATTAATTAAGCTAATGTAAAAAAAACTTTTTGAAGTCAGGAGTTTAAATTTAAAAAGGGATCACTTAAAATATGATAATAATAATACCAAAAAATTTGAAATTAAAATGATTAAAATTTTAAATTTTACTTTTTCAAATTAAATTGTATTTAATTTTTACAATTCTTTTTTCAGGCAACAGGTGCATCAATACAAGTGGCAAGCGAAATGCTTCCAAGCTCAACCGAACGTGCCGTCACAATTTCAGGAAGTGCCGATTCTATTGTTGATTGCATGCGACATATATGTCAAATTTTGTTGGAAGTCAGAAATTTAATTCAATTCTTTTTCCAAATTAAGTAAAGAATTTTGTAAATTTTATAAAAAATGACATATATTTCTGTATCAAACTGTTCTAAAATTTTTTTTCTTAAACTTTTATTTTCATTTTTTTCGGAACATGCAACTTATTACATACATGAATGCTTGCATGTATGCAATATCAGTGTTAAACTACCTATAAAATAAATATTTTTTATTTTTTAAAATAAATTCTGTCATTTATTTTTTTTCTATTTATTATCATTTTCATTAGTCTTTCCTGTTGTTTCAATTTCCTAAATATAGAAAAAAAGAGAAAAGACTTCAATGTAAAAAAAATGTTGCGAAAAGTTGCTTTGAAATATAATAAATTAGGAAGAAAATGATTTTATTAGCATGCAGCTAAGGTCAAATTTTTTGTATTATATTCAAAGCAGAGCTTTTTTGCCGTAGATAATGCAATTACATTTTTATAAATAATTGCTTATTTTTTTAGGCACCAGCAAAAGGTAATACATTACCCTATCGTCCGAAACCGATCTTTAACCCGACCTTATTAGCTAGTACAGCTGCAGCAGCAGCGGCTTCATTGTTACAGCAACAACAACAACAGCAGCAGCAACAGCAGCAGCAGCAGCAGCAACCGTATCCAATATTAATTAACCCTTTGGGTGTTAGTTTCTTATCTTCTACTTTATTTTTTTTGGACTTTTTACGGAGTGTATGTATATTTCAATTTTCATCATTTTTCCACAAAAGTCTCTTGATATTATGTTCCTTATCGCCCTTTAACCTTTCATGTTTTATTCATTCAATTAAAGAACTAAATTTGCCGGAGAAATCAAATACTATCTTTTTTTGTTTTTTTTTATTCTTAAAATATCAAAAAAATTGTAGCAATTTTCATTTTTTAAATAATTCATTCATCACATACGCACTATATTGTTTGTTATTATGAATATTTGTCTGTAATTATTCTCGCACTTACAAATTTTAACAGTTCTCCTATGGCGTTCATTTCATTTGTCTATTTGTTTGTTTGGTTGTTTGTGTTCAAAACAATTTTCCAAACAAAAAATAAAGAATAAAAAGGGATAAAAACTGAAAAGAAAAAATTCACTACTCACTTTTTATTGCATGCTGCTTTACCCTATCGTATTTTTCAAAATCAGTTAATAAAAATTATTATTGCTTGTAATTTTGTCATCCTTAAAGTTTCTTTGCATTTTCTTGCTTTGTTTTCTTTTGTTTCCATTTTTAAAAACTTAAAAAATTTCGTCGTATACTGCCAGTTAAGTAAATGCCCCAATTATTTGGATCATTTCCGAAATTTAATATTTGGTTCAAATTTCTTTCTCTTATAATTAAAAAAAATCACAATTTTATCTATTTTTACTCTATCTTTAATCTTTTGAAATGAGAAAACATAATTACTTTCATTTATATTCGAATGAAAATATTTCAAAGTTTAATATCTTAATATATTATCTTCAAGAATTAAAAAAAGAAGGAAATGGGAATGATCAAGAATCGCTAAGTAAAAAAGCAATGTTATCTGTTCAATTAGTTGAAATTAAACAAACATATACCAAATGGACTAATGACAATAAATTTACAAGCACAAACAATCTTCTCTTTGGTAGATAGAAAAAGCCTTTAAAAAAGCAAAATTAACGAGCAATCATATATATATATATATATATATATAAAATGAATATATATGAACAAAAATATACGGGTGAATGTGCAAACAATTCAAATATGCGGACATACAAAAGTTAATAAGGATGAACAATCATTTAAACATATAGCTATCAGTCAAATTTTAAAATATGATAAAATTCAATTTCGAAATCAAAAAAAAGAGGAATAAAGATATTATTTGTATTTATGATGAATCGTTTACGTCTAACAGCTTATTGTAAGAAAATAAATGAAATTAGTATGAAAAAAAGTCCCTGGTTGAAGCATAAATTCTAAGATAAATTGAAAATTGAAAATTTTAATTTACGAAAGTACTAATGGAATTTTGTCGCAAACATCCTTCTTCTTACGTACTGACTTCTCTCTCCTCCTCCTTCTTGTCATCATTCCGCTTTTCTCTTCCAAATTTGTCATCCAAAAAATTTCCCAATAATGCTACTGTATTACTCTATTAACACAATATAACATAGCATCAATACACGTATAAAATTAAGGCAAATAATAAATTAATTATTTATACGACAAGTCAAGGAAATGGAACAATATAGGACAAATTCCTTTTTTCTTTTTTGAATTGAATTATTTTTTATTCTGCTAATGCTTCATTTTTTAAATATATTTTTATGATATCAGCAATAGGAAAAGAACGTAACATTTTTAGAGGGAACGAGGAGAGTGTAACTGTTACTTTTTAATAAATTTAAAAATAAAATTGATTAATAAAAGATCAAGCTGATCAAAACTTCATGAAAAAGACAGATTTCTTCATTTTTTTTATGCTGCATTTATCCAATGTAATTTTTTATTCTATAGTTAAATATTATACTCAATTCTTCCACTCATATTAATTTATGGCATAATAAGTACCATACTTATTTTACTGTATTCGATATATATGATATATAACATTTTATTACTTCAAACTTAGTTCCTATATTTGTAATGAAATATCTAAAATAAATACTTTCCTTAGTGCGAATTTAATTATAAATATGAAATATCGTTACAAAGTATGTTTTTTGCCTACCATTCTTTCAATATTTCCAAATAAAATCGTACATTCTCATTCTTTTTCTTTTCATTCTCCTGATATTTCATAATGTAACAATTACTCCTCATTAATTTTCTCGCTTGAAATTAAAAATTTTGAAATTAAATTAATATAATCGTGAAATGAAGAAAAGAAAAGAAAGTTCGAATGTGTGTTGTATATTTCAGCTGGCTAGAGTAACTTCCCCTTATGTCGCAAGTACCCAATTACTGCCAACTGTGTCTGCATTGAACCCTTATACAGGTACTACTACTCTTATATTACTACGATTACTTTTATCACCACCACTTTAGTTACTATTCTTATCACTACTACTAATACCATGTTTTATTTCTTTTTAATTTTATTTTTAAAATCTCAATTCATTTATTTTTTCTTCTTATTGCATGATTTTTAAAATTTTTAAAAAAAGGGAAGAAAAAGCAAAAACAATTGCTAACTTTTTCTAATTTCGCTCTTGATTGAGTTCATAATGTCGTAAATATAATAATTCCAGTAATTTGTTTATTTGAAAGTTTTGTGTGTAATTACATGTTGTTTATTAATAATATAACTGTAATTGTGTTTCATTTTAAAATATCAATGTCAGATTCAAATGTTCGTTTTTTACCTAAAATTAGGCAAGGAACAAAATTTAGTCATGGATGTATGTGTTCCTTTTTGTAGGATAAATTTCGCTTAATTTTCCTATCATTTTTTCCAACAGTTTATGCACAATTTGTAGTATTTGGCAATGGTTTGATGACATCTGCACCCATAAAAACCGACACAACAGAACAACAGCTGGTAAATACCGCAACACCGTGGGTAACTGTTTCAAGTTATGACGAAAAGCAAGTTGATTTTGCTCAAACACTGATGAATTCGCAATATGCTGGTGCTTTGGGTTTGGGAGGAAAGTAAGTTATCAGTACCACTTATTAGTGTGTAAGACAGTCGCAAAAGAGTAACACTGACTAGCTTAGCAAATTAAAAAAAAACATAGTTAATATTTAATAATTATTACTGATAATAAAAAGTAATTTTTTGAGAAGTTGATATGGCGAAAAAGAAAAATGACTCAAAATATGAATGAGAAAAGAAACAAAATGAGTCTAAGCATGGAAAAAAAAGTGTGAATTATTTTTGAAATTATGATGAAAAATATCAAATTACTTCTTAACATCATAGCAGGAGCTAACAATATTGGTGAAAACAATACGAAAACATTAGGAAATAATATATGAGAATTTCTGAGATTCTAAATGCAATAATAATTTTAGATGATATGTTAGGATAAAAGAACTTTGATAAGCAAACAAGGAGAACATTTTGAAAAATTTGGAATGGACAAAATAATGGAGCCAATTTAATAGGGAAATATATTACTAGTTGTTGGGTTCTCCGAAACTATAATCTAAGTAGTGAAATTTCAAAACCTTCCAAAATGTCTAATAGATTATGCAAGCAATATGTTTATCTGTAATATTATTCAAGTCTGTGAAATTAGGATCGATAATTAATTGCTGATCGTTGTATTAGACTAGAATGGGTTTATATCCGAATCATTCGTTCACTTATTACTTTGGTAAAAGAGTCTCTAATGCAGACAAATTTTGCTAAATTCTTATGATCAATGCCTAGTTAATTCAATATGATTTCTAATCTAAATTTTATTTTCAGCGTATTTCCGAGTCATACAGCAGCTTTGGTTAAAGCAGCCAAACAGGATCATTTGGCTAGTCCAGCGCGCATTTCACCGATATTATTACAACAAAATACCCGACGGTTCACTCCGTACTAACTTAATACCTGCATTTGTATATCTTTGATAGAGCTAATAACTTACAATTTGTTATTTACGAGCTGTCTTGACCAAAAAAGATTTTAATTTTATGAAATTTGACGGCAAGATTAAAAGTGATATTAGGGAGAAAAAGTATGTGAAAACTCCTTTTGCTAAGTCGCCTAATTATAAGGCGTAAAGCTGTTCATTTAATGGAAGAAAGCAATAGTTAAAATGGAGTACAAAACCCTAAAATTCAAATTGAAGTCAACAAATGATAAATAGCTTTCAATTACTCGTTACATTATGTACATGCTTTACGATATCGTTTCACGTAAATTTCTTTAGATGGGATGAACTTCAAATCATGCATAAGTACTGTTATCAGCAATTTACTATTGACTATAATTAAAAAATGACTGAGTAAATCCATTTCGAAAAATAATTGAAGAATTTGAACTGAAATTAACCGTGGCGAAATCAAACAGAGATATCAAAATCACGCAATTTTCCTCACCAATTGCTTTTGAAAATTTACTTTTATTTATCGCGCTTGCAAATTTTGAGCAAATGTCCTGAACGTCTTTTAAAATTTTAATATAAAATGTGAAGTAACGAAAAAAATCATTTATTGACTTTGCAGTATATGTCCACAGAGCATTCTTGTAAAAAATAATTTTTTCCCGAAAAAGTCATGATAGTAAAGGAAAAGTGCAATTCACGAAAAGATATCTTCAAAAATGAACATTACACCGTCAATTCCTTTTTGTACACAAACTCTGACTTTGAATCTCTGAAGTCATTAATGCCCTAAAAACATGCTGGAATAAAAACAATTTTACAGTTTCTCGCTAGATATTCAAAAGTCTAGGTTTTGATATTCACCTAGCTAGAGAAATAGCAATTTCGGGAATGTTGCTTTCATAAGTAATCGCCTTTTACAGCATTTTAGACAAACAATGAGTGGTTACAGGAATATCTTCTTTGGATACAGAAATCAATTTCTAAAACTTTACCAGATTGCATGATCAATATATGCCCTTGACCAAAATCAAAGTCGAGATGAAAGATGTCATAAGTAAGAATTTTTAAAAAAAACTAGAAATTTCAACATATATATACAGAAATCTCACTATACTAGTACTAAGTTGCTGTGAGTACGACAATCAATTTTACCATCATCAGCTGTTATTCCAAATGTTGCCAACCATTCGCATAACTTCGACTCTTCCAGACCCAACCTTGATGCTAATAATTTTACGCTTATTGTAGGACGAAATCTGCAAATTGAACATGAATAGGCATTTCCTGATACCATTATATTCGAAAAAGCAAAACAATAGTGTTTATCTCTATTAGTGAAAAAAAACCATACAAAGGAAATGTTTTATAAAATTTACAACAAGGATTATCTATAAAACATTTTTTTTTTTTGAATAAGAAAATTTTGCCCTTCCAATATCAGATGACTACGGCAAAAAAAATGTCTTAAAAATCAAATTTGTACATAAATCCGCAGAATCTTTATTGACAATACAAATTCAACTTACGATTTTAAGCAAGCATTTAACGCAGCCTTCCGTTCTCTCTCCAAAAATAGATCCATTACGTATGATGCCATCCTTGGGGCTTCCTGATATAATCGAAAAAGTTTCACATGATTTCCAAGAGCCCAAGCTTCACGGGTTTTCAATGAAAACATAAGACAGGGATCCTTTCGCGCCTTTTCATCTAATTCACTGAGTAGAGTAGTTTGATCTGAAATAAAGATGGAACAAATCAGTGAATGCAATTATTTCTTTGAATGAATTTAAGAAAAGAATGCATAATTTTAACTGAAGTTTCACTTATACTGAATTTTTAGCCTGCATGTGCTTTACGCGTTCTTTTCTATGGCGACCTACCTACAGATAAAAATGTCATATAGCACATTAAGGATCTTTTTTCTGAAAATATAAATCATACCTATAGTATTAGCAACTGATATGTAATAAAGTAATCGATAAGAAGTAAATTCATGGCAATTTGGCGAATCAGGTAATTCTTTATATAATAATTTTAACTGGCTCTGACACTGATTGAATTCTTCACGATCACCCTGCTCCAGTGCAATCCGTGCATTTGTCTCGTAAACATTCACAGTAAAATTGGTCCTTATACACTGAATCTAAAGATTTGCCATGTAGTAATAATGTTTTTAATGCTTGAAATTCCATCGAAGTGCAATACGATAACAATGATAACATGTGAACGACATAGTTTAGAATGGCTAACCAAAATATACATAACATCTTCATTTAATCAATGTGTCAGAAACTTTGGATTTTGAAAAGAAATTGAAATTACTTTTGCCTTTTCGAAAAGTGAAGAATACATATTTTTTAATACGGTATCGTTATGATTTATATCAAAACCTCAAAATTTTCAGACTATTAGCTCATCTAATAACATAACAATAAGGACAAGCTATTCTAACGAAAAAAACTGCAGCTATTCTCCATTCTTACTAATATCTGCACTTTCGGAATATCTCTTGCTTGAGGTTGAATGATAAGTTATGGAATTACCATCAAATCTTGACGAATACTCCTCAGTTGATCATTTGCATATGTATAATCTCGATTAGTTGCGTATTTCTGTTGTACCAATTTTA